TTTGGTTTCCCTGTATCATAATCCTCCATGTATTTGTTATTAGCTCTAGCATAACGATTACTACATTGAGATACACCACCTCTGATACCTGATCTAATAAATGCAATTTTCTCATAATCTGTTAAAAGTTCTAATTCTATTTTTGTATATTTTAACATTGCATCCCAACTTAAACCGGGTGCTGTGTAATAATGGACAGGGTCTAAATCATATGTATTAATACATAACTTTCTAAAGTTTTCAAATACATCGGATAAAAGTAAAACGTCTGTTTTTAAATATAGGTTTGAATAATCTAGCATATTACAACACCCAAAATGTTCCCAAACATCTTTAGCATGATTGTAATCATCATTTGAAATATGTGAATCTGTGAGTGAACTATAAAAACATTTTTGTTCAGGGAGCGATGTTAGACTTAAACTATCATAATTAGTCATAAGTTCATATGGATAAACACCTTTCCGTTTTAAACGAAAGAAATCTTCATCATTAGGGTAATTTCTACGTAATTCTTGAAATTGATCATTACTGAGATTTTTGGCCAATTCTTCTAATTTACACGATAAAAACTTAAATGAATCTAAGAATCTCAATATAATTTCGTGGTTATTCACTTTTAATTTTTTGGAAAAGGATATATATTTTTCTTTATTTTGAGGGATAACTTCGACTTCACCATCACAAAAGTTTAACGCGTGAACAATAAAATGAGCATCATAGTGACTAAGGTTGTGTAAAAATATTGGTATATAACTAGGTGTTCTGATCTTCGAACAACATGATTCATGAGCAACACCTATAAAACTACCAGTGTACCAATCAAAATCATAAAAATGTTTTGCCAACTCAGTTTCACAAATATGACAAATGGTTGCATTTGAAATTTGGTTTTTGTCTTCATTTGTTAGCGGAAGTGGTGGATATTTTTGAAGTCTATTTATTTCTTTTAGATTGTTAGATAAACTTTCCATAAACACTTGTGCACAGTTGGGTCCGCAATATGTTACATATTTTGATAATTTATCATCATATGAACATTTTATATAATATCCAAAACTATGTACTTCATGTTTCTGAATATTATGAGTGAAAGGTTTGGAAGGATCGTTAGAACATGATTCTATTGGTTTTAAAAATGCTTCAAAATCAGCATAAACTACGAATGGTATCTTTAACTTTTTTTCATAACTATCAAATTTAATTTTATCATTTGAAATAGGTTGACCAAACCAATTCTTTTTTTTTAAAGTTTCACTGTTTGGTAATACTGTACAAATGTGAGCACAATCGTATTGTTCATGGTTATTTAACCTTTCCTGAGATGGAAAACGAAGTAGACATGCTTCACAAATGTACATGATGTGACCGTCTTTTGAAATTTGTTTACTAACTAACCGCGATAAATTTTTTATATAGCAATAATGATTTTTTGTATCCTTGGAAAAAAATAATAAATTGATATGTCTATCTTTACGACACTTTGTTAAAAATAATGGACCTACTATAGAATTACATCGTTTTTCTTTATTATATTCTAACCCAAAAACATTAATACTAATATCATTTAATTTCTCTACTTTTGCTATGTCAGAAATTTTAACCGGAAAGGAAATACCATCAAATTTAAGTTTATTTGCATGTTTAACGTACGATGATACCCGATCGGTGTGTTTGTTTACAGGATATAACGCCGAGAGTAACGCCCATTTAAAACAAAAATAATCCTTGTTTTTTACATTTATAACAGCCTTTTTTAATTTTATGTCACGAGGAAGATCTATGTATGAAGTACCGCGTAGGGGGTTAAATTTATTAACATTCATGTCTATAGATTTTATGTTTTTTAGACTCCATCCACTATCTTTTTTTTCGAAAGCACTAATTTTAGTAGTAATTGTATCATTTAAAGATGAAAGAAAAATATTTAAGTCATCTCCTTGACAAATAATATAGTTAAGCGTTTGAAAATCGAACGTATCATGAATATCTTTAGTTTGTTGAACAAAATCAGCATGCAATATGAAGTTTACCTTAAAAATTATGTGTTGATGAATACACTCTTGTAATAAAAAAAAAATATCATCTTTAATAGAATTTAAAAATAGTTCAGGAGTTTCAAAATTTACCCATGTCGAACGATCTACTCTACTCTTGATTTTATAAGTTAAAATCCTATTTCCAAAAGCAGATTCAATAACACTAACGTTTGATAAAGAATTATGTGAATTTAAAAGATTATTTTTATGAACATTACTTTTAAAATGATTAGCTAAATACCGTTTCTTGATAAATATATGGCACGTTGGACATTCCACTTGATCATCGTTACTGATACTGTTCCCTGCAGAGGTATGCGCTTCTGCTTCCGTTGTTGGTTTTTTGATGATCTTGGATTCTTTGCTGCATGTTCGCTTCGTTCCTCTTCCAAGTTGTAGTGGTTGACTGCTAAAATGTTTAAATTTATTAAAAACTGTATAAGACAATATGTAAATTATGATCGAAATGAATGTTTATTTTACATACTTAAACTGTGTTTCAACCATCGTACAGTGATGATACAACTCATCATCGTATGACGAATCGAACAGTTGACCCCTCTCCATTTCTTCACAAACTTTAGACAACTCCTGATTTAATTCGCTATTGAATAGTTCCGTATTCTCTTCCATGATTGTGGAGAAAAAAGCACTGGTGCACACTTCACTGAAGTTTTCCCTTCCTCTTTTTTATTTTTGATTCAGCTTCAAAAAAATGATCAATCGATTGCGATTTTCTTTTTCCACCATCGCATGTGTTATTATTAATGACGAGGTTATCACTCTCTTCTTGAGGGGAGAGTGGCGAGTAGTAATACTGTTTATAGGTATCTTCATCGAAGCTCAATGATTTCTGCAACAACACAGTTATCATGTTAATATCAATTTGTTAACACTTAATCATAAAAGTTAAAAAAGTTAAAGTTACAGCCTATTAAAGTCCACTGCTGAACATAGGCCTCCTCTCATTTCTGAGAGGGTTTTAGAGCAAGGAAATGTCCGCCGCGCTCCCTCAATGTGTGTTGGCGAACTTCACATGCCTTCGAAATTGTCTCAGACATGCAGGTTTCCTCACGATGTTTTCCTTCACCACCAAGCACGTGGTAATAAGCACTTAAAATTGCTATTAACAATTTAATTGGTGCTGGCGGGGATCGAACCCGGGTCGCGTACTGTGAAATTTACAGCTAACGCTAACCATCTGAGTTACCACGGCTTAATCATATACATACACAATATTTAAATAAAATAATACACACACATGAAAATAACAGAAAAAAAGTAATTTAGTCAATAGAATAAACACTTACATCCATAGCCTTTGGTGTATTGAAGTAACACAAATGTACTATTGATAGATCCACTGTAGCCAAACGACCGTACACTAACTCGATGACTGCGTTTGTTGGTCTTATATACCACCAGTACGTAAAAATTCTAATCTAAAGTATTTCCGTAATGAGTTGATAATTACTTTATGCGTCAACCAGTTTATCTCACATTTCCGTTGCCTATCTCAACATTTCTTCGTATTGTGTTTTGTTTGGTGATCAATGACTCAAGTACGATTTGTATAACACAAAAATGCAATTTAATATTTAGAAACATATCAGTTTATCTCACATTTCCGTTGCCTATCTCAACATTTCTTCGTATTGTGTTTTGTTTGGTGATCAATGACTCAAGTACGATTTGTATATCACAAAAATGCAATTTAATATGTAGAAATCACTATAATTGACCATTCCTATGTTATTCATTGAGTAGCTAGGTACTGTAATAATCTACTAATAGCAGTAATATCATGGATACACTAGATGTACAACAACATCTGAAAAAGATTCACCCCAGTCTAGAAAATAATGTTTATGCAGCTAATAGACTGCCTATGTATACCCACGTACCAACGTATATAATATGTAATTTGGATACAGATGATAAACCAGGGTCACATTGGGTAGCTTTATATATCGATACGAATGACGTCGGTCAATATTTTGATTCATATGGACGATCACCTGTACGATATCATCTAGAGTTTTTAAAAAGGAATTGTAAAAGATGGAACTGGAATGTTGATAGGATTCAGAATGAGTGGACTTCAGTTTGTGGCGAATATTGCTTAATGTATTTACTATATAAGTTTCAAGGATGTTCAATACATAGTTTTACGAGTATATTTACAAGGAACACATTGTACAACGATATTTTAGTGGATGAGATGTTTCGCTCCTATTTTATAGATAATAATTAATAAGATTTTGTATTTTATAAATAAAAATTGTAACAAAATTATGTAATGTGTTTTATTGATGATTCAGATTAGCGTTGTATAAACAAAGAATTATAATACAATAGCACTGATATAGTCGACGCACACGCTGCAATGAAGGTGATTAAGGAACAATAGAACAATAGAAATAGGAACAATGGGACGCTAATGACGGTGGAGGCCCTTACCGGATATCAACTAGATATTAGCTAATTGATCTACACATCTCCGGAACCGTGCATTCTACACAAAAATGGACCGCGGATTCGTGATCAGAGCATGCCAAAACCTTTTTTTTTTTTTTTTTTTTTTAGGATCGGGCGTCGACGAACGTCGTTGAACCACGTCTGACTCAGGTGGTCTAGAAGTGGTACAACTACACTACTAAGATAAATAGGACAAAATATTTGAGATTTTTTAATTAAGTTTTCTTCACCATGAAGGCAATATTACATATTCTGAACCTTCTCTGCAATTTTGGCCGGTCATTGCGTAATAACCCTGTATGCCACAATTTATAATATTAATATGTTATATTTATTTCCCTTAAATAATTTATTATATCATTTCATTTTTCATTCTATATAAAAAGCAATGAAGCAAACAACGAATAAAGACGACGTTGAGAAATACGTATATTTTCCCATGTATCAATAGATCCATAGCGCAAATAAAACATTAGAACTTACTGTCATTACGCAAAGTGGTATCACGTACAGCAATCCAAAGTTAACCATGTCAAATATCTCCGAGTTATATTTCATACGATGTTGAATACAAATTGTCTCCATCTGACCATCACCAAGATTGTTCGTGATAGTCTCTACCCAAATGAATTTGGGAGCACTATACGCCGCACTGGTAATCCACACTCCTATAATTACCATCTGAAACAATAACATACGTAACTCACAATAAAAATAACTATTATAACAGCAAATTAGCCGTGTAGTGGGCGGTGTAAGACAATCCACTATTATATATGTTGCAGCTATATTAGTACTCGTAGTATTACTTAGTCCTCACGGGTGACAACGCATCTGCATTTTCATTCTTTATCGAGGATAGATGTAGATGTCTATGAGTCACAGCGACCACTTACCATAAAGTGGACTGTGTGCTCGTTTGTCACCCTATCCTATAAAAAAAAATCTGTGCTTACGCATACACTTGGGCACTATAATCCTGCCCAGTGCAGATGGCTGGTCTCTGTGACTACATGATCGTCAAAAATCGAACATAAATAAATAATTATTTAATTTTGTACAACGACTTCAATATAAATTATTAAGATTAATTAAAAAAAACTGTTGGTCAGACCTTGATTAAATTTGTAGGGGACTACATGAGAAGCACCCGCTTTCAAATAAAAAAAGAATCATTAAAATCGGTTCATTCAGAAAAAAGTTATGAGGTAACACACATAAAAAACATACAGTCGAATTGAGTACCGTCTCCCTTTTTAAAGTCGGTAGAAAAACAATTACTTACAAACGTCCGGGCCAGAAAATTAATAATGTGTGTTTTAAAATGCGTATGTATAATTTTCAGTATGAAGTCCTACCCTGATCTAGTGAACCTACATTCAAGGAGTAAACTAATTCGTAAAATCCCAATGATAATCTCGAAAAATCGAAAGTCAGACAGTGACACTCTTCAATATATCATTAATAAAAAAATAAAGTAAATCTCACAGAATTTTCAAAGAGAATGATAAATAAATAAATACATTATACACTAGCTTGTAATTTCTAAAGCAATAAACATCAGTTATTAAAGAATCTGGACATTAAATAAACATAAAATAAATTAGTAATATTTGTTAATCTTTTCTTACCCTTAATCTAGTAGAAGTTAAAATTTGCTTGCAAGTAATTGGATGAATTATAGCAAAATATCTCTCAGTGCAAATGACGACTAAAATGAATATTGATGCAGTGTAACTCAACGAGTGAACAAACTGGTACATCTTGCATAAAAAATCTCCAAATACCCAACTGAAAAAGAATGAAAACTTGAATAGAATTGCAATGTTGCCATAAATGCCAAACATGAATAACAAAACACCTCTAAAGAATACAAAGTTTAATATAAAATGATTAAATTATCCAGTGACAACATAAAGTTTTGTAAACATAAATTTTATGTCGGCGATCTGATTTATTATTCAAAATATTCTATAATAAATTTACTGTTAGCCACCAAAGTTCGAAAACAATTTGCAAACTACTAAATAACAGTTACAGTTACTTATTAAAAACCTCAATTTTATTAAAACATGTGTACGTTTCACAATTTATATTAGCTTCGTTTGTTTTTAATAGCATGTGAAAAATGTGAAACACAAGCATCTTAAACATAGTCGAAAAAAGTATTAATAAAAAAATACAGGTAAACGAATTATTATAGGCAAATATTTTAGTGTAAGAATTAATGAAGCAAATAATGAATATTCAATTTTAGCAACAAAATATACTATGTTAAATCTCGTATATATATAAGTCATACAATATTCACTTTCGAATAAAATTTGTATAGGTATAGTTTTTATAAGTACATAACATTTCACAATCTTGCTCACCTCGGTATAAGATATATTGTCAAATTTTGGAACACACAAAAAACACCAACACATAAATCAGCTACAGCCAGATTTGCCAAGAAAAAATTTGTTATTGATCGTAACCGTCTCGACAAAATCACAACAAGAATAACAAGTAGGTTTCCTGAAAATTAATTTCATATTAAATAATTTGTATCCGCACGTATTATTATATTTTTAGCTAGCCTTGCAATAACTTCGTCGTGGACGTATAAAGTGGCAATAAAAGTATAGCCGTTTTCTTCGTCTTCCTTTTTATCAGCTCGTAAAAGTCCACTGGACATGGACCTCTCCTGTTTAAGGAAGCATTTGCCTTAATAGTCAGGCTTGGCAAGCGCATTGACGATCTTACTTCAATTTGTTTTGTAAATACTATTCAGCCAAGTTCAATAGATAAATAGAATGTAATAAATTATTTTTATTCGTATAGGCTTAATAGAAGCTAACGTCAGTATCTACATGAAGTACTTAAATAAGTTAGTCAACATAAGAACCGGCAAAAAATATCGTGGACCGTTTTAGAAAAAAAAATTAAGACTGGCGAGCCGCTCTTTTTCGCTTGATTAGGATCTATTTATGTGGCGCTACTAGATAATCACACAACAATTTTTAATCCATGTTTTCGGATAAAATATAGCCTAGACCACTCCTAGTATTGCTATCTATCTGTTCGTGAAGTTTCATTACAATCAATTCTGCTGTTCAGAAGATTAGCCCGGACAGACAGAGATTTTTTTTGATTCGTGTCTTAATGGCATGCAAATATCCTCCTCAACTCAATATAAGGCAGTTATTTCGATATTACAGGCATTCGCTTCAATTTTATTTAAATGTATAAATTAAGTAATAACATTTGATGATGATGATGATAATGGTGTTCTGAGGATCCATAGCGACAACTTCCAAATACTTTTGGTAGCTATTAATTACTGCGAAGATATCACAGTGCCATAAGACAAATGGGCAATCACAAAATAAATATTATAACAAAAAGATAGAAAGTTGTGCCCTGTTGATTAGGGGTTAGAGGTACGGCGGTTCTTCACTTCGTGACAGCTTCTATTAATCATCATAGCTATTATCATTACAACTCCACTGCTGAACATAGGTTTCCCTGACTCCATTCCTTCCATTGACTTCCTACTTGTCGTACTAGTTTGTCACTCCATCTCGTTGACGCCACCCCACTAACCCGTGTGATATAAGGTTATCAACAGAGGACCTTTCTTCCTCACTAGTTGTCGGTTTTCCGACTTATATTGCAGGTCTGTTGCCATTTTAGCTCACTGAACCTTTAGTCAATGGCGGTTACTTTATTCTGTTGTAGATATCTTCATTACGTGTTCTATATCTTTAGGCAAAGAAACTCTAAGCTCATGTATAGCCCGCTGTACGACTTTAAGTTTTCTTATACATCTAGCAGTAAGTTTCCTTATACATCTAGTAGTAAAATACACCATCTTGGCTTCATACGTCATTACCTTCAACAGGTTGTACAATTTTATTTTGAGAGTTTGAGGAATACTGAAGAGGAAAAGGTAAGGTGTAATGCTTACAGCAATTGAGTAAGCTCTTTTACTAATTTTCGTCTTAGTCCTCAGAGGTGATAAAAAATATATAGCTATCTTAATTGAAGTTGGTTGCAGGTGTCCATAGTCTGCAGTAGCCACTAAACATCAAGTGAACTGAAGTTCGTTTGTCACTTCAGTTCTAGAAAGAAAATGTGTTTTGTAGTAATGAACTGTATAACACAAATGCCATCAAAAACATAAAAAAAAAACAAGTCTCGCAACTCAGTCCCTCTACCGTAAAAAGTTGTGAGATCCATGTAATACCAAGTCGGTTAATTTATTCAGTCCCTACTTAAGGGTCCTTCTGTCTCAAGTTATTACGTAATTAGCTAACCTAACAACATCTTATAGTTACCATATCAATATTAAATATATTTTATGTTTTAAATACTAGGATTGACTTGGCAATCGCATGAAAAGACAATTTATCTCATAAGTAATACATATTATATTAAATTAGATTGTTTAGTGAGATTGCCAAGTCAATCTATGTATTTAAAACATTAAAGATTCAGGCTTCTAGTTTTATCCACAACAAAGTTATAGGGAGTCGAAAATGGCCTGAACTGCTTCGAGAAAAGGATGGTACGGCCTTGCCGCATTTTTTCTCGACTTGGCGGGGGCACACCGTGCCCCCAGATGTATTGTGTTACATAGCTTAAATTATCAGGCAATTTAATGTCCCCTTCTCATTGTGGATACGAGTTGGCATTAATAATATTTTGAAGTACAAGCTTACAAATAATTTAAGATGCCTCCTTCTAGTTCCTGTTGTACCTACGCCACTATTTTGAGCTTTTAAGTGGGCAGTTATTTCATCTTTTTTGGTTTCTCGTGGAAAACAGCTAAATATTTCAAAACTTTAAGGTACCTTGCGTTAGAATGTGCATATATATCCGACTTTATATTTTAAGTTCTAATGATGAATGATGATAAAACAATCACCTTTGCATTGTTGCCATTCCAAGAAATATTACATATTAGGCCGTACAGTTCAAGTCAATCGAGATCTTCGATTTTATATAGGCGGTTTATAATTCCGAAGTCAGTGCTGCTACGCCCGATGAAGGTGATATCAAAATAATTTTTATTGATTGAATTGAAAATTGAGTTATTTTATTTTATCTTGGGTCAATAGTCAATATAGCTTGTAGTGGCGTTGTCGTCGCGCCGTAAGCGAAACTCACCGAAGCCTAAATCGCGCTATCAAAGTTCTGAAATTAACGCGCTATATATAGAACAGCTCCAAAATACCACACGGATCGTTGGCCGCTCCGCGGGCTGAACACCTTGGCTGGCGGGGGATATTTTTTTTCCTTCCACGGCCAAAGTCTTTTGTGAAAAATATCTTACTCGTTCTACAGGAGGAATATAAATTACAATACAGATACAGATAATACAAGATTTCCAGAAGTAGCATCTACGCTGATCAAATATTGTAAGCTGTTTTTCTGTTATTTTATTTTTTAGGGTGGATTAGTTACAGAACAAGAAACCCTTATAGTTTCGCCATGTCCATCCATCCATCCGTCCGTCCGTCCGTACGCGGTTTTGCTCAGAGACCCTAGGTGCTACAAATCTGTAATTTGGGATAGTTGTAGATATTAATCACCATTTTAAAAACATTTTTATTTGGGTACTTCCGTAACAAGTAAATGAAGGATGATTTTTTTTACCCGTCTATTCTATCATATGGGGTATCGTTGGATAGGTCAAGGGTTATGGAACGACATCTTTTCGATTCAGGGGTCCGTTTGCGATATATTTAGCTTTGAATTGGGATTTTTCATTAGAGGTATGTGCACCCCATCCCCTCCCCCCCACCCCCATTAACTAAAAATGCTAAATTCGGAAATGTGAAAAGTATACACAATAGTAGTACATATAATGAAGTTAAAAGGAAAACTATCACAGCTAAGTAGAATTGAGAAATTTACGAATAATAGTCGACCAACTTATAAAATGCACTTCGATTAGTAAAGATTTCTTTGCAACTCGATAGAAAATGACCTAATACTAGCTGCATTAATAACTTTGTAATGTTTTTGTAAGCTGTTAAAAATAAACACTTTATGAAGAAAACGACTTATATGCATTACTAGTATTAGCTTTACTTTTTCATTTGCGGGATAGATGGGTATTAGTATCAAAATCAAAAAGTTTTTTTTTAAATATTTATTGAATACCACTCCCTATATGGCTGATTTGAAAATAATTCCTTCAGTTACGATCTTCCTATTTGGGTTCATTTATAGACGTTATAGCGGCCAAACCGCGAACTCACTTATTATGCTCATTATCACGGAAGCCACGTATTGTGACGGGCAACTACGGACTCTATCTTTACATTGTGCGTGCCGCGACACGCACTTGGCCAGTTTTTTTTTTTATAAAATTGAAGTGACTAACGTACAGTCCACCTGAGAAAAAGTGTCTAGTGGCGTGAATGGACACATACAGCCAACTACATACAAATGCTACAGATATGATGACTCTGAGGACTAAGATGGATTGCATCACAGCTTCTAATTATATCTGGTACATATATAGCACTGGGATATTCACATCAACAGAATCTAAGGATACTTTCACTGAGAAAAGCGCCGTGGATACCTTAATCCTAAATTATTTACTACTTTATAGTTTAAAATCTTTTTAATTTCCATAAAAAGTTTATATACAGATTGAAACCTCTTTTATTCTATTTTCAAAATTTTAAAATATAGAAATAACAAAAGAAAAAAACAAAATACGGCGGCAAATTGTTAGTAATTAGTTAGGTCACGGGAAGTTAAAATTGTTCTACTGATATTAATTAATGAAAAGGGATAAGATTGTTTTTCTTTTTTAATTTAACGTGCCGTGTGAGCTTTAAGAGTCATATCACGACGTCATTTGAGTCGAGATGAAATGTTACGAGCCGTGGCCGTGGCCGAAAATGGTACTATTCAACGCGTCGTTTCTGAGGCCCTACACAGCAGCCAAAACGTAATATCAAGGTTGTGGTCATGCTATCGCAGTTCGTGTTACTACGCAGAGACAGCATCGATCTCTCCATCTCTGCAAAAGAGTTAGTCTTGAGTGATAATCTTAGTATTGGTGGGAAGAAAGTTTTTGAACCGATATGGAGATCGCAAAGTTCCAGTAGTTTTGCCACTCACCTCCTGTATATGTTCGTTCCACTTTAGGCAACCATCAACATACAGACCAAGATTCCTTAAACGGGGAGAGAACGGTATGACATTATTTTTAAATATTATTGATGGTAGGGCAGGAACATCTAGTATAGATAATAATCTTAGGCTACCTAAGATTATTGTTTGGCATTTAGACGGGTTTAGAGTGGACCGTTCGGAGATGTATTTCAAATCATTATTTAATAATGAGATAACATTAAAGATATTTGAGGGTTCCACTTGCGCATATAACTGCAGATCATCGGCATACAGATGGTAAGAGCACTTAAGATTTAATGTGATGAGATTAATAAAAATGGAAAACAGAAGAGGAGAGATTATACCGCCATGAGGGACGCCAGTAGACATCATACCAG